TCTATTTCCAAGATGTTTGGTATTAAATTTTTTCGTTTCATTTTTTAATTACAAGCTTAAGGTTAAACTTTTTTATTTGTGCACCGAAACGTGGGATAGAAAATTAATTTTTAATTTTCATTAATTTATTTTCCATTTTTTGATATTAAAAAAAATTCAAACCGGTATTTGAAATTAAAAATTTAAAAATTACTTTTTAATTATTATTTTCGGGATTACATAAAAATAAAACAAAATATCTAAATGCCGTTTAAATTTTCAATGCATTTGAAACCCTGTCTTCAACAAATAATATTGCTAACAAATTGTTTAAATTTAATACTAAAAAAGTCGAACATTTTTTGCAGATATTTTATGTTTAAAAAATTTAAAAAATAAAACAAAATATCGATTTTTTTCATAATTAGTTAACTAAACTGTATTATGTTTAATCTAATCAGCTGCTAATTCCTTACTAGTGTTCCAATTAGAAATTTCGACGCCTCCAAACCTAACCTAACCTCCAAACGCATGCAAGAGTGTTGCTGACAGTACAAAATAATAATTTGAGCCGATAAAAAACATTTTTCCGATTAGAAATTTTGCCTGCTCAGAACCCAACCTAACCTCTAAACTTGGTGTTGCATGCAAGACAGCTGATTACAGTACAAGTGAGCCACTGAAATACATTTTAAATACACTTTTTTAGARCTGCATAAAATTGACGTTTGCTTGTTGGCTTTGTGGGCGCGAACAAAAGCAGTTATTATTAAAAACATTTTACTAACGAATTTCGGTTTTATTCAGCTTCAAAAGACAACTATATTAATGCATACAAATGTAGCGTGAATGAAAGCCATTGTAGAATAGCTTTTAGGCTAATTAAAACTAATACAAGCATGAAAAATAATGCAACATGTGAGCAAGAAACTTAATAACTAATTAATAACGCTATAAAATATATGAAAACAGCAATTGTGGCAACTAAATGACTGACGCAAGTACACTTACACTGATTAACAGCACACGCACACATGTAAACTTAACACAGGCATATAAATATAATAAATAGCATAATTTACACTTTACTATAATTATAGTACACTAAATACTAAAAATGTGTATATGTATATATATATATATTTGAAACTTAAATTCTGTTC